GAAACGGGAGGGGGAGGAGGGGATTTTTTGTGAGGAATTGTGGACTTGGTTAAATATGTCGCGTTTCAATTGCTGGGGGCTAACGGTATGGGGGGCTGTGAGGGCGGGACGATCGCGCTATGCAATCCTTCGGGGCGTAGCATGACTACAGGGTGGTGCTGACATGAGAGTAGGGTTATAGATGAGTTGGTAGTGATGGAAACATTTTTGATTGGTATGTCCTATCTTATCCTACCCATACCGACCCCTCGCTTTTCATAACATTCGCTCCATGTGTCGAAGAATAGAAGAAAATCGACAAACGCTAAGACACAAAACAGTCACCAAGAGTAGATCATTTCCATGCCAGGCGAAGTCACCTAAACGTATATATGGGATGAACGACCAAGAAAACTCAAGACCAAGACTAATGTATCATATTCATGGGTATGAACACTCAAGCCTTTGCCTTCTTGCTAGCTTTCTTGGGCTTTGCAGCAACCTTCTTCTCCTCGACTTCCTCGACAATAGTCTCGGGCTTGCTCTCCTTTTCCTTCTTCGCCCTCTTGTTCTTGGCTGGTGCTTCGACAACAGCCTCCTCGACGGCAGTGCTAGTCTCAAGTGCAACGTCGGACTTTCGCTTCTTGTCCTTTTTGGTCTTCTTGTCGGCGGCAGGTTCGACTACTGCAGGCTCTTCAGCCACGTCATTGGACTTCTCTGGAACAGCTGCCTTTGTGGCCTTCTTGCCCTTCTTCGCTTGTGCTGGAGAGGCTACCTTGGTAGGCTCAACGGCCTCGGTTGCTGGTGTCTCAACCTCAGCCTTTGCTCCCTTCTTGCCCTTCTTGGCCTTTGGCTCGGCAACAGTAACCTCCTCAGCAGGCGTGTCGGTAATAAGCTTCTTGGACTCCGAAGACTTGAGCTTCTTTATGGTAGTGTGCGCGGGGACGCTGTCGACAGTCTTGAGTATCGGTGCCTCAAACTCGTAGTCAAAAATCTCCTTTAGCTCCTTGGCCTTGGTACCTCTCCGCTTGTTCTCATTCACAACACGCTTCTCCCACTGCGAGCGCTCAGCCCCACGCTCCATCTCAAGACCAGCCTTCTTGTTGCGGGGATCGACCTTGAACCGCTGTTTGGCACCCTTGAAAAGATCAGGGTGTACTTGGTCGGTGGGAATAAGGTGAACCTTGAGGACGTGGCCGAAGAGGAGGTAGTTGTTCATGGTTCGTGCGACAATGTCAGCTACTTCTTGTGATTGGAATTCAACGAAAGCATAGTGTTTGGAGGCGCCCGTCTTCTTGTTACGCGACAAACGTAACTGGTTGACCTTTCCAAACTGAGAAAAGTACTTCTTCATTTGGGGTTCATAAAAACCGCGTGGCACACGACTAGTTCGAAAGTTAGCAGGATACCAAGGAGTGGGGTAAAGTGTTCGTACCCGACATAAATGACACCAGGCTGGTTGGACTTGGGGGCGTCCTCGGCCTGCTTGATGGCTTTCCTCTGCTTTGCGCTGAGCTTTGGAATCTTTTCGTCCTCGTTGAAGTCGACATCCTCGTCGGCATCGTCTGAGTCGTCGTCGCTGAAGCCAGCAAGCAGGGCTGCTGTCTGGTCGTCTTCTGCAACGTCTTCATCATCTGAGGCGGCGGCGGGCTCTGTGGCGTCCACCTCTGGCTCGGGCTCAGGCTCGGGCGCCTCCTGCTTCTTGCCACCCTTTGTCTTCTTAGGCTTGGTGACTACAGTGGTCTCTTCTACGACAGCTGGGACATCAGCGGCCACCTTTGTCTTCTTTGTCTTCTTTGTTGTCTCCTTGGGAGTCTCTGTGACAGTAGTCTCCTCTACAACAGCAGTCTTTGCCTTCTTTGCCTGCTTCTTAGGCTTCTCCTGGACCTCCACGACCTCTGCGACTTCTGCAGCAGGCTCAGGTACCTTTGCGGGAGCGGCGGCCTTGCTCTGCTTGCCCTTCTTGGGCTTGACGGGCTCAGCAGCAACAACAGGCGCAACTTCCTTCTCTTCGTCAACATCCATGAAGTCGGAGGCTTGCTTGCGCGCAGACTTGCGCGTTGGCTTGGGCTCGCTGGCGGCTACATCGTCGGCTTTCTTGGCCTTCTTTGCCTTGGGCGTTGTCTCAGGTGCGCCTATGCGATATTAGCTGACAAAATTACAAAATTATGTTGCCCATGTCGCCATTTCTTACTCTTGCGCTTCTTTCCCTTTGTATCGTCGGGGGCCATTGTGGTCAGCTGCAATTGTGTGGAACAATATGTGGTCGCGACGGTGGTTACGCGCAAAAGTTCGGAGGAGAGCTCGGACGCGGTAACTTTTTTTGAGGGCAGTTGCGCTAAGTTAGACCCTCGCCAAGCCAGTCGACCAGCTCACCACATGCCCATCCGCTCGCGCATCCCTTGACCATTCTCGTACAAGTGCTCACTCGCATAGACTTTGAACTGTTGATCCTACCGCTGCTCATTGCGCGTCTCTAAAGTTAACTTGCATCGCCTCTATATACAAAACACCCCGACTGGATTCACAAATCACGCCCTGGCTCTTCATCAGCATGGCGCCAGTCGTTGATATGAGTGATAAGCATGCTTGGGACGACTCTCTCCTCATCAGTTCCTGGGATGACGCGCTCAACGAGTACAAGGTAAGAATTCACCTCTGCTGCCAAGCTGTGCAGGAAAAAAAAGGTTGATTAACCTGCGGATGCAGAAGTATCACAGCATCCACCAGTCTGGCAAGCGACTAGAAGACGTGCTCACGGAAGAGGAGGTCAAAGAACTGCGAGAGTAGGTGCTTGCTGGGCGCTTGCCTGGAGCCTGTCAAGATGAAATTAGATTAACGCCAGCAGGGGCTATGGCGACCTGATAGAGGAAACAGAGCCAACGTCAGGAGCAACAGAAACCAATGGCATTACGCCTAACGACGATGCAGACATGTCGAATGCAGAGATAAGCTGCGTTGCCCAGTCGGAAAAAACTTGCCTTGTGCAACAGGTACGTGTACATGTCGCAAGTGAAACACTCGAGTTCTGAGCCCTGGCTAACGCGAACCAGGAACCAGGACAATCCGAACAGCAAAACACCCACGATACCCAATCGCCAAGGGCTGAGGCTGCATCGGCCCCAGGTGCTGCCGAGACTCTTGCAGAGGCCGTGCCCCAAGCGATGCTCGGAACAGGTATGTATTACTGATTTTGACAGCCGTTGTTTCCGGGGAACGTGGACAGTCGGAAGCGGGCAGCGGGCCGTATGCTGATGATGTTCTGCAGTTAAAGACGAAAACCTAAAAAACATTATGATGTCGTGGTACTATGCTGGTTACTACACTGGTTTGCATGCGGGCCAGCAGCAGCAGGCGGCTCACGACTCTTCCGCCCAAGAATAACAGCAGCGCATATGAATTGCGTGGCTGTCCGCCATGATGCACGACTATTGCCTTGAGCCTGGATAATTGCCAGCATGTGCAGCCAATGCGCGTAAGGATGTTCATTGCCATGACCCTGGGCGCGACTTACCACCAACAGTTTGTGCCTCAAAGAGGACGGGAAAGTAGGCCGCGAGCTATTAGTTGGCACCGCCTCTTATGCGGCTTGATCTTTTCCAGCCCCATTGTCCAGGCATTATGAGTAGTTGTGTCGCTAGTGCTATAGGCCTCGTGGCTCTTAGATTACCCAAAGCGTGCTGTGCAGCGAGAGGCGAGACAGATCTGCGACACCACCGCGACGCACTTCAACCCTCTTCCAACGGTTCGAGCATCACCCCAACCCCGCACCCACGCGCAACCGCGGGCGGATCGCCAAAATCTCGCCATTTTTCCACCCAAGTTTCCTTACTCGTACTGGATTGCCCGGCCCAGGGGGTTGGTGTTTCGCCCGGCATGCGACCGGCGTGCAAACCCTTCAGAATCAACAATTTCATGCGTGGATTTAAGGAATACACTTCCCCAGGCAGACAGCTTTTCTCCTTACATCAAGACATCTGCCTCATAATACTGGTGCTCCACTTTCTCTTTCTCTTTTCCTCATCTGCTTCTTACTGTCCGAGCCGGCCCTCGTAGTGCCCTTTCAATCCTTCACCCTTTTTCATCGTACATTCTAGTGCTTGCAGTGCAGGCTTACGTTCACTTTTCACGACAAAACATTTTTTAACACACGATACTCAATCTACTAGTCATAATGAAGTACTTCACAGCACTACCTTTGGCCGCCGCCTTGGCCACTGCTGAGATGATGGTTATGGAGGTTGCTCCTGCTCCCGCCGCTGGCCAGAAAATCCACACTGTAAGCACAATCCGCACTAATAAAAGCTCGAGCCTCTTATGCTAATACATGGTAGGTTATTGTTGGTGGAATGAAGCCTGTTGAGGCGGGCATGGCCCCCAAGCTAGAATACACTCCCGATACCATCAAGGCCAACGTCGGCGACATGGTCGTCTTCGAGTTCATGCAGAAGAACCACACCGTCACCCAGTCGACTTTCGCCGAGCCCTGCAAGAAGATGGAGGGAGGAATGGACTCTGGCTTCATGCCCAACCCAGAGGGTATGCCCGGCGTCACCTGGAACATGACCGTCGAGACCACCGAGCCGCTCTGTAAGCCTACCCAACAACTTTTTTGCGCCAATGCGAATAGCCAACTAACACTAAAAAGGGTTCTACTGCAAGCAAAAGAACGGAATCCACTGCGGCAAGGGCATGGTCTTCTCCATCAACCCCGCCGAGACTGGCGACAAGACGATGGCCGACTTCAAGACGCTGGCCATCAAGACCAACGGCACCGACCTCGTAGAGGGCGGTCTTCAAATCGTCGACCCTGGCGCGGCTGCAGCCCCCTCCACCGTCGGCGTCATTGCTGGAGGCGGCGAAGCTGCTCCTACAGGCGCAGCACCTCCACCACCCGCTCCTCCTGCGGCTTCTCCTCCTCCTCCTGCCCAGGTCATTGCTGGATCCGGTATGGACGGTCAGGGTATTGCTTGCTCGTGCCAGTGCCTGTGCGGCGCGGGATCCTTCCCCCCTACTGCGGCTATCAACAGCTTTGGCGGCTATGCCGGCATGATTGCTTAAATGGTCGAAACGAAATTGCAGTAAGGTATAATGGGCGGTTGGGGTTGCGTGTTGTAGTCAGGAGAAAGATAGAGGGGGAAAGGAGGCGAGATTCTTATGACGAAGTCGGCGAGGGAGGAGGCTTTCCACTTGGGCGCCTTCTTCCTTTTTTTTCGCTGGCCTCTTTATACCATTTTATCATTTGCTAGGGCGTTTGCATGATACCGTATTCCCCACATGCTGCGATGTATTGCCGCGCTGTGGTGCCTGCTGGGTACTTTTGGCAGGGATTTTGTTCGCGTTTGTTAAAACCTTTTTAAAGTATTAGAGCTGGATCCAAGTGGTCGCCACTATGTTTGTTCCTTTGACTTTACTATCGTGATGTTTGCAAGTGATGAACTTACAAATGTTAGGCAGAAGGCTGGTTGGGCTTCACAGTTGGATCAGCAAAATAAGTAAGGTCCGTCCCTGGGTCATGGGACGCACCCTGTTGTGGGACGGACTGCAGGTACTTTGAGATTGAGCGACTCTAACCCTCCGAGCGCATTAGATTAATCTACAGCCTGCTGTTTATAGTTTCTTCGCCTACTATAGACTGCACTTATCCTTATAGACACAAAAATTACAACATTGTTGACGCCTGCGCGCCTGATGTTGTGGGGCGTTCTCTTTTGCCGGGATTGAAGCCTGCGCTGTACAGCGCTGCATCCGCCTCAAAACCCCCTTAAATCGACAAAGTGGCTTTACCTAGACCTTATAATGTTGTTATAGGAGCGAGAAGTCACTATCAGCCTTGTGGCGGTTGTCGCACGCTTGGCTTTTTATACGTGGATACATTCATTCAAGGACACCTAGGCAGTAGACGTATACGCATCTCAATCTTAGAGCAACATATGGAAGTTGCTAGTTCTCAATGTATTAGTCAAGCTAACCTTACTACAGATCTACAAGCAAAAAGCCAAGTAGGCATACTGCAATCGTCTAATGCTGTCGACGCCCAACCATACTCTACACTTCAATCCGAATGCTGTTACTGCACAGAAGCTTAGGAGATAAAGCGATTATGCTGGTACCTTTCCTGGGCCTGCAGTAATAGGTCACTTCGAAATATCGCGAAGTGTTGGCTTTTAACAATGACTCTATGCTAACCCCCCAGAATTTTCCTTGCCAGACCAAACCTGTGGCGACGTCTATCTGTTGATGTCGATGATACGATCTGCCAGGAACCATAGGAAAGATGCTAGACAAGGTTCTCAGCGGAGATTGATATTGACTTGACCCATTGTGTATATGAAGGTTGCGGGAGAGTTGGATAGAAGCCGAAGGAGGAGGGTGAGATTAATTTTGAGACTGAATGTGTAGCCATATACTGGGAATGGTTAATGCTTCCCTTTATTCTCATATATCTTACTACGTTCTTGTCAATATGGACGATAGCGACAAACTGGAAACTCCGCCACAGCAGACCGGTGTGGAAAGAGAGCATCCTGCCGCTCATAATATACGGTTATAAGATCAGGTATCAAGAGCCAGGGATGCTTCCAGACCAGTTCTACACGGGCATTACGAACCAGGAGGAAGACGGCTCGTTGAGCTCGGGGGGCGTTCTTCTGGAGACGAACGAGATGGATGAAATGGGCAACAAGGTCGCGATATCATTCGACTGGCCACTCAAAGCAGTGACAAGTACTGAGCGCACACGCGCTAACTCTTCCGCTGTTGCTTTGCAGCAAGGGAATAGTTCGACCAGGCGACGGAGTCAGCAGTCTGCTACTTCACAGTCTCTGCGGCCCACCGATAGCTCTTCTCAGCTTGAAGAGCTCGTTTCCCTTCGGCTCTCACAGGATATAGATGCCAGTGTCCAAGTTTCGCTACTTGAGACCGACGAATCTATCCGGCTTCACGATCTGGCCTCCTCTCGGAACTCAGATGACATACACACGGGCACAGGGCAGAACACCGTCGACTGCGTCGCCCAACCAACCAGGATTCCCCAGACTTCGGGTGAGACATACAACAACGCAAGCTTAAAGGTGTGCAATCTATAACGGCAGCCACTGGGATATTCAATGACCTGGTGTGTGAGATTGTAGGTTATAGAGACCATACTTATGATCGTCATCGTCATCGTCGTAGCAGAGCAGAGCGTGAGCGTGCTAGACACATGTATATGTAGACATCAAGCGTAGAGCGATTTTGACATTTCGCATGGAAATAGAGGTTGTGCTGGCTGCGATTTTACCTGGCGCCACCTTATATCGGCTACTTTCGTTGAAAACTCTGCCGCCAGGATAGCCTTTTCTACAATCCAGTATGCTATAGCACACGGCGCGCTGATTTGGGCGCTTGTGCTGCTGATGGGTCGTTTCGGTACATTCCGTCCAGGACTCCTCAGAGGCGGGGCGCACCGACCAGAAGATCGACTCATCTTTACCGTAACGATGAATGTGTGCAAGCACGACTATGACCATTCTGCACAATACACGATGAATGTGGCATGTTTGTTAGTCTACAGTTAATATAAGGCAGAAGAAATGCTGCGTCTAATGCTGCATCCATGCCCCATGCAGGAAGTGCGTCAACGCGTGAATACGTGATATTTGTGTTCGCCTCAAGCCTACAAGCATCTGAAAAGCCACCGCGCACAGAATTGATCATATATGCATCGATTCTACTTATGAGATGAGCATCTTTATCGCGTAGCTGCGAGCTCCGATGGCAGCGCCTGTGACGGCTGTTGTACCTGCGACCAAGCCGTAGCGTCGCTATATGGCTTATTATACCCGTCACCCGTGTGATGCGCGATCGAAACACCAACTGGCTTTTCGTAGTGTTGTGCTTCAGGTTGATAGCTCACTCTATCATTTAGGTTTTTCGTCTTGCTATGCTTTCGATAGAACAAGTATGCCGCCGCCACAACAAGCAATGCGCCAACACCAAGGCCGGCACCGATACCAGCCTTCGCACCAGTCGACAAACCACCGCTGCTCTCCGTACCTGCCGTGGTGGCATCGACCGGACCTGTAGGTGCGGATGTGGGTGGCGCCGGAGACGATGTACTAGCAAGACTTGAAATCGCGTTTAGAGATAGTGTCGAGGTTGATATTGGTGGTGTGGAAGGTGTCGTCTTGGTATCCCATGGTACGGTCGAGGACAATGCCAGGATGGATGCGCTTTGAGAAGTCGCAGAGGTTACGCCTATCATGGCACCTCCGATAGCTCCACCGCCCGCTTTTGAGATCGAAAGTTCGCAACCAGCGGGAATTGACCAGTCATCGAATCTCCTAGAGAGATAGACTGGCGACCATGGCTCTGTTCCGTTCTCTGAAATTTCTATGTTGAAGACTACGCTCCTTGTTAGTGGAGCTACAGTATTGAGAGAGACCGAAATGGGACTCACTCTCTGACTCCCCATTGATATCGCCGGCCTCATAGCAGCTCACCACGAGTGTATCAGCAAAGGTCGACCACCATGACACTTCTACTACACTATCAACATTCAGAACAACATGATGCTCCTCGCGTGGATAGTTGAAGGCGCCAGACATTTTCAAAAAGCTCGCAGCGCTGCGGAATGAGTGCAGTGAACGAAGTCAGGAGTTACACGAAGCGATAGGATGGCTGTTGGACGCAACTGCTTCAGCGGCAGCTTTGTAGAAACTCTCAATACGCCTATCTCTGCGTTGCATATCCCCAACCGTAGTTCCAAGAGGTCTTTTGCAGTCTCGATCGAGGGGGCACCAGTCACGAGGCAAGGTGGCTTGAGGCTGAGAGCACAATGTAGCGATGTGGCCCCCGATCAGCGCACCGCCCGCCGCCCAAACATTATACTTTTCCTCACAAACGAATAAGAACAACCTTCGTGCCAAAGCCACAGGAATGTTGCATGCCGTGCAGCATGACTCCTGTTTCGTCCATATTGTAAACATTCTCTGACAGTGTAGCAGGACCCTGCAGCACCTTTTCCATCACCTCAAACCACTTAGCGATCTTAGAATATATATCGTTCTCGTGGCGGTTCCAGTCGATAGCCCTGACCTTTCTCGCTTTGAGTTCCTTATGGCGTTTCTCGAAGGCCTGAGCCCAGTTCTTGCCCGGTGGCTTGATTAGTTTGATCGACGTAGATCGCCGACGAGCGATGCTAAAGGCTAGTAAAGGGATACTAACGTGACGGATAAGCGAGTCGGTCAGGCAAGCGAGTCGGTCACCTCACCAACTTTGATCNCCCACCACACCTTTGCATACAATGCCTCCAAGCCACGCTTCTCAGCCAATTTCTCATGAGGCAGATA